AGCCAAGATCCAACTGACATCAGCTATGATATCCCTCACTCCACATCCTCTTGCATTTCTGGAAGCTCTCTGTCAATATACTGCTCCAACTGTTTTTGAATTATCTTCAGTAAGATTTTACTTGCTTGTAATAAAAATGACATGGTTTGATAATTTTCACTTTTTGTGGGATCACCTTTCTTTCCAATGGGTAAAAATACAGATCTCTTCCAGTCAGTTTTCCAGGTAGTTGTCTTCCAAATCTCCTGACATAGCCGAGTGCATGCCTCCAGGATGGCAACCATTTGTTGAAACATCTCAATGAATCTGTCAATTCTTGGGCCTTGTTCTTCACCAATTCTTTCAGTGTAGCTTTGACTTCTTCCTTCAGTACCCTTGCTTTTTAATCATGCTGCCTCCTGAAGTGCATGACCATCTACCAATTCTTTTTGGTATAGAGACCCTGTGTATTCTATCCATCTTCTTTTGATGTTTCCTGTAACATTCAACATATTGCCCATGGAATCTTTCAACATTGAAATTTTAGGCTTAAATATTTTCCTCAGTTCTTTCAGCTTGAGAAATGCTGACCATGTTCTTCCCTTTTGTCTTTCTAACTCAAGGTCTTTGCACATTTCATTATAATAATTGACTTTTTTCTTTTCGAGCTGCTCTTTGAAATCTTCTAGTCATCTCTTTTCTCCTGTTGATCCTTCCTTTGCTTTAGCTACTTTCTATTCAAGGGCAAGTTTCAGAGTCTCTTGTGACATCCATTCTCGTCTTTTCTTCCCTTCCTGTCTTAATGACCTTTTGCTTTCTTCAAGGATGATATTCTTGATGTCATCCCACAGTTCTTCTGGTTTTCGGTCATTGGTGTTCAATGCATCAAATCTATTCTTTAGATGGTCTCTAAACTCAGGATGGATATAATCAAGGTAGTATTTTGGCTCTCATGGACTTGTTTTAATTGTTTTCAGCTTCAGCTTGAACTTGCATATGAGCAGTTGATGGTCTGTTCCACAGTCAGCTCCTGGCCTTGTTTTGGCTGAAGTTATTGAGCTTCTCTATTGCCTTTTGACACAGATATAGTCAGTCTGATTCCTGTGTACTCCATCTGGTAAAGCCCACATGTATAGTGTTGTTGAAATTTGTGTTGTTGAAAAAAGGTATTTGCAATGAACAAGTCGTTGGTCTTGCAAAATTCTATTATGTAATCTCCAGCATCATTTCTATGACCAAGGCCATATATTCCAACAACCAGTGATTCTTCTGTTTCCACCTTTTGCATTAAATCACCAGTGATAATTAACACATCTTGATTATCTGTTCAGTCGATTTCAGACTATAGAAGTTGGTAGAAATCTTCAATTTCCTCATCTTTGACTTTTGTGGTTGGTGCATAAATTTGAATAGTAGTAATATTAACTGGTCTCTCTCACAGGTGTATGGCTATTATCTTACAACTGACAGCATTGTACTTCAGGTAGATCTTGAAACATTCTTTGTGCTGATGAATGCCACACCATCCCTCTTCAATTTGTCATTCCCAGCATAGTAGATCATATGGTTTTCTGATTCAAAATGGCCAAAACCAGTCATTAATTCCTAGGATATCAATCTTTATACATTCTATTTCATTTTTGACAACTTCCAATCTTCCTAGTTTCATACTTACTACATGCTGTGTTCCAATTATTAATTGGTCTTTGCAGCTGTTTCCTCTCTTTTCGAGTCATGCCACATCAGCAATTGGAGGTCCTGAAAGCTTTACTCTATCCAAATCATTAAGGTGGACTCTATTCTGAGAAGGCAGCTCTTTCCTAGACATTTTTATTGTTTTCTGACCTAGGGGGCTGGCTCATCTTCTGGCACTATATCACTCTTCTGACTGGTTATGACATTTAAGGTGTGTCAACTTAGTTGAGCCACGGTTTTCATTGGTTTGGCAGTTATATAATGAGGTAATTTGGTAGTTATGTAATGATGTTTTTGGCAGTTATGTAATGTAATTCTCTATTTTGTAAACTGATATGATCATCTTCCATTGTCACACAATGCCGATTTTCACATAACAACTTGGTCTTTGGACCCTAACTATGTCAATAAGTTTGGAGTGGGTGTATTTGAAATCCTTAGGCTGAAATGAACCTTGGTGGTACATTAGTCAAATACTCAGCTGCTAACTGAAAAGTTTTGAACCCACCAGCCTCTCCATGGGAAAAAGATATGACTGCTCCTGTAAAGAATGCAGCCTAGGAAACTTTGTGGGGGCAGTTCCAAGCTGTTCAGTAGGGTCACTTTGAATAGCAATGAACTCACTGGCAATTGGTTTTTAGTGAGATTCGATTAAATATGATGTTTATTGTTTATTCCTAGTCTCACTCAAGCTGGTTTGTCTCCTTTAAAATTTATTGGTATTTGATTGTGAATTGATCCTCTCTAGACTTTCATCTTATTTTTTTAAGACTCTCATGAGCCTAAGGTGGAAATGCCTTTTTTTCTCAAAATAATTTTCTTCTGCTTCTGCTGGGATCAAGAGGACACTTCCAATCTAAGCCTCTTATTTCTTTCCACTGGTTTAGGATTATTATTAGAATGTCAGATTTGATTCCCTCACCCTGTTAGTGAACCTATGCTTAATTTTCAAGTAATAAAGCTGTTCTTGTTTTTTTTTTCCTCCAAAGCTAGTCCATTCTTCTTGTTATTTTCCTCTCTCAACTCTTGTTTTAGCTAATATTTTACATTATTTTGTTTCAGTGTTTGTTTTATTTATCCAAGATGTAGTCATTCTTTTGGAGTGAATCCTTGAGAGTATCTAATCTGCCATGCTTTTATAAATGAAAGTAATTTTTCTACCATTTCTTTGAATATTCCTCTCCTTCAACATATGTATTTTATCCTTTAACACTTTATAATAGATAGATGTTGGAACTTCAGAATATGGTCTCCATGTCTCTTAAATTTTCTCTTGTACATTACAGGTATATTTGTTCTTGACTGCTCAGGGAGTCTTCAAGATCCATTTTCCAGCTCATTAATTTGTTCTTGAGGAAATAGAACTTCTTATTTCAGTTTGTATGTTTTTATTTTCATATCATTATTTGTTTCTTTTTTATAGAATGAAATATATTTTGAAACTCTCTAGTGGTATTAACTAAAATATTCTGGTGTATCTTCTCTTTGCTCATTTTTCTCTGCTTCCCTAAGTGTTATTTTTTATTTGCAACATTTGGTGAATTTCTTTCAGGGTGTTGTTTTTCCTCAACTGTTTAGTTATATATTTATATTTATTTTGGGGAAATTTTTTCTTCTATTTATACTAATTATAGTTTATTTTAATGCACGGGAACTCTGGTGGCATAGTGCCTAAGGCATCTGATTGCTAACCAGAAGTTTTGTGGTTCAAACCCACCAGCCACTCCCCAGAAGGAAGGTTGGGCAATCTACTTCCGTAGTAATACCATCTCAGAAACTCAAGGAGGTGTCATTATGAGTTGGACCTGACTCAACAGCAGTGGGTTTATAATGCATATTATTAAATGTGTGTATTAACTGTGTGTGATAGGTGTTATACACTGGTGGGATTCTGTGCTGCTAACTAGTCTTCTCCCTGTAGGTTTTCATCATCTTTGCTTGGATAATCCCCTACTTCTCTGGTATTGGCAACCACACTGCATGTAAATTCATTGACTACTGGAAAATAGGGAGCTCTGGTAGCATAGTGCCTAAGGCACTTGACTACTAACCAGAAGGCTGGCGATTCAAACCCATCAGCCACTCCTCGGAAGAAAGATGGGGCAATCTACTTCCATAGTGATACTGCCTCTGGGGTCGCTATGAGTTGGGTCCGACTCGACGGCAAATAACAACAACAATAACAACTGGAAAATAGACTAAAATGTAAAATGGCTCAAATACAATAGAATTTTCTTTCTTGCTTATGTATGCAGTCCAAAGTGGTTCTGTATTTGTAGCATAGTGCTCTGCTCCACACAGTTGCTCAGGCATCCAGGATGAAGGAAGGCCTGCTGTTTTTATATCTTTGGCTTTCAGAGTCACCTGGGCATCAATAACAAATCAGATGGAGAGGGCAAAAACTGAGGATTCTGGATGGGAATTTTTTTTATAAATTGACACTGAAAGACATGCCTTTTATTTAGATTCCCATGTCAGTGAACTCAATCACTTGGCTGTAAGTGAGAAATGAAGTCAAGCTGTCTATCCAGGAAAAAGAGGAAACAGTGTTGCTGAAAAGCTAACATTTTCTGCTAACTCATTCATTGTTTTAGCCTGCAGGCAAATACTACTACTGCCAACTCCTTATAACCAATCAATGGGGGCTTGGAAATGAACTGCTGCTTTGAGTATAGATGCCTAATTAATCACTGACTAATTCCTCAAGGTACCTTCCCATTTATGATATCTATTGACTTTGGTCTCAGAGTTCCCTTGAACCACAGAAATATTCCTCTGAATATGTTTTGATGTATCGCTGTTTCCCATAAATAACAGATCAGATCAATTTAGAAGAAGTATCAGAAATTTCTTAAATTTTTGTCTTTGATAATAACACCCTTTATTGTTTCATTTTGGGAGCTCTGGTAGCATAGTGGCTAAGGCACTTGACTATTAACCAGAAGGCGGGCAGTTCAAACCCACCAGCCACTTCTTGGAAGGAAGATGGGGCCATCTACTTCCGTAGTGATACTGCCTTTGAAACCCAAGGAGGGGTCGCTTTAAGTCGGGTACGACTCGATGGCACATAACAACAACAACAACTATTGTTTCACTTTAATGTTATGAACATATTATACCCTTTCTGCCCTTTCCTAATATTTGGAGACAGACGTAGTTGCTTTTGTTCATATTTATCCCTAAGTTCGAATTAAAGTGAAGAGTGACATTTTCCTCTTTTTTATTCTCCAATACCATATATCTATAGTTCTGTAATTAACCATGTGATACTTTTTCAATTAAATGTACAAAAATGTACTTCTTAATAAGATTTTCAAATGTGGAAATTACAGGAAGTCACATTGAATAAGCCATTTTTTCCCCCTATTTTCAATGACAGTGCCTGAATTTTCATCAAGACAAAGGATCTTGAATTCACTATGTTTCCAGGACACTCTAGTGCTTGCTTCCTTTGCAATGTGAATACCGAATCCATGATGTGAGTTAAGAGCTGAGGACTAGAACAAAAAAGCATAATCTGCAATTGATCTGGATGTCTTAAGGAGAAATATTAGGAAAAGGGCAATGGTATTTTCATTTAAATAGAGGAAAAGTAGGCTCACAATAAGTAAACATGCTCCAAGCAGCACTGCTTTCATTTTAACATCAAGGTCATATGGAAACTTGATCTTAAATTTGTTAGCATCTGTAAATACTTCAGTCATAAATCCAGCCCATTTTTTTGAAATCTTTCCAATAAGTATTTCTTCATCCAGAGATAATAACTAAAATGAAAAAAGATGTAATCTTAGGAGAAAAATATCTGAAATAAAATGAAAAAATATTTCTATATCAATTTTAACAAGTTAACATGATTCTTATGAGTTATAAGCATACTCTGATTGTACCCAGAAATAAAAAGAAGATGCAACATGGATAAATAATAGCCTGGAAAAACATCTACAGATAATTTCTATCTAAAAGTAGATTTTAATAAACTGATTGTATAAAGTTAATCAAAATCACAAATAATTTTATCTATGTATATCTTAAATTTGATCTGAAAATCAATTTAATTACAAAATGTAAATCATAATTCTTTCAACCCTTTTACATAGTTAGCTCTGCCACTTAATGCTAAAAAAATCCAAACTCACTGCCATGGAGTAGTTTCCGACTCATAGCAACCCCCATTGGGTTTCCAAGGCTATAAATCTTTATGGAAGCAGACTGCCTCATCTTTCTTACACTCAGTGGCTGGTGGGTTTGAACTACCAACTTTTGGTTATCAGCCAAACGCCTAAACCACTACACCAACAGAGCACCTTCTACCACTTACTAAAACCAAAAAAACCAGACTCGCTGCTGTCCAGTCGATTCGACTCATAGCGAACCCTCCTTGGGTTTCTGAGGCTGTATCTCTACAGGGGTAGAATGCCCAGTCTTCCTTCTGAGAAGTGGTTGGTGGATTTATACCACCAGCCTACTGGTTAGCAAATGCCTTAGGCACTATACCACCAGGGCTCCCAGGGAGAAAATAGTCAGACTAAATTAACTGGGGGGATAATTTTAGACAAGGCCTCATGGGGAATGCACCATTTAAGCTGAGCCTTGATCAATAGCAATTAATAAAGGGAGAAATAGGGAGCGATAGCATAACAGAGAGAGCCAACAGCCTGTAAAAATGCTGGTAGTATAGATGGAGGAAAGAAAGGATGGGACCAGTATCATAAAATGAGTGAGGTTGGAGAGTTATAGAAGCTAGGTCATATATGCCTTTGTAAATTGTCATTAGGTGTCATCAAGTCAGTTCTCATTTACAGTGATCCTATGTACAGCAGATAAAAAACCTTGTCTGGTCCTGCGCTATCCTCACAATCATTGCTGTGCATGAGCCCATTGTTGCAGCCATCTCAACGAAGGTCTTCCCCTTTTTTGCTCACTTTCTACTTCACCTAGGGAGCTCTGGTGGCATAGTGCCTAAGGCATTTGACAGCTAACCAGAAGGCTTGTGGTTCAAACCCACTAGCCACTCCTCAGAAGGAAGGTTGGGCAATCTCCTCAGAAGGAAGGTTCTATAGAGATACCGCTTCGGAAACCCAAAGGAGGGGTCACTATTAGTTGGCTCTGACTCCACAGCATTGAATTTGTTTTCTTTTTTTTTTTTATACCTAGCTTTATGTCCTTCTCCAGGGACTGGTTCTGTCTGATAACAAGACCTAATAAGTAAGATGAAGTCTGGCCATTCTCACTTCTAAGAAGCATTCTGTCTATACTTCTTACAAGAAAGATTTGTTTGTTCTGGCAATCAATGGTATGTTCAATATTCTTTGTCAACACCACAATTCAAATGCATCAATTCTTTTTCAGTCTTCTTTATTCATTGTCCAGCTCTCACACACATATGAGGCTATTGAAAATACCAAGGATTAGGGCAGGTGCACCTTAGTCCTAAAAGTGGTATCTTTGCTCCTTAACAATTTAAAGAGGTCTTCTGCAGCAGAGTTGCCCAGTGCAATATGTCACTTGATTTCTTGACCACTGCTTCCATGGTGTTGATTGTGGAGCCAAGTAAAATGAAATCCTTGACAACTTCAATCTCTTTTACATTTATTAATCATGATGTTCCTTATTGATCCAGTTGTGAGTATTTTTGTTTTCTTTATGTTGAGGTGTAATCCATATTGAAAGCTGTAGTCTTTGACCTTCATTATTTAGTGCTCCAAGTCTTGTTCACTTTCAGCAAGCAAGGTTGTGTCATCCATGTATCATAGGTTATTAGTGAGTCTTCATTCAATCCTGATGTCCTATTCTTCTTCATATAGTCCAGGTTTTCAGATTATTGACTCAGCATACAGACTGAATAAGTGTGGTGAAATAATACAGCCCTGACCCTTACCCTTCCTGTTTTAAAAACATGCAGTATCCCCTTGTTCTATTTGAACCACTGCCTCTTGTTCTATGTACAGGTCCCCCCCAGCACAATTAAGTGTTCTGGAATTCCCATTTTTTGCAATGTTATCCATAATTTGCTATGATCCACACAATCAAATGCCTTTGCATATTCAATATAATACAGGTAAACACCTTTCTGGTATTCTTTGTTTTCAGCAAAGATCCACCTAACATCAGCAGCGATATCCTAGTTCTATGTCCTCTTCTGAATCCAACTTGATTTTCTGGCTGTTTTGTGTTGATGTGCAGCTACAACTGTTTTTTTTTTTTTTCTTTCAATTATTTTCAGTAAAATTTTACTTGCCTGTGTTATCAATAATATTGTTCAACAATTTCAGCATTTTGTGATCATCTTTCTTTGGAATGGGCACAACTATCTTCTAGTCAGTTGGATAGGTAGCTCTCTTCTTAATTTCTTGTCATAAATGAGTGAGGATTTCCAGTGTTGCATCTGCTTGTTGAAACATCTCACTGCATATTCTGTAAATCTTGGACCCTTGTTTTTCGACAATTCCTTCAGTGCTACTTGGAACTTTTCCTTCAATAGTATATTTGATCACATGCTACCTATTGAAATAGCTAAATGTGTCAATCAATTATTTTGGGGACTGTGTATTCCCTCCATCTCCTTTTGATGCTTCCTGCATTGTTCAATATTTTGCCTATAGAACCCTTTGATACCACAATTTGAACCTTATTTTTTTTTCTTTAGTTCTTTCAGCTTGACAAATGATAAGCATGTTCTCGTTTGGTTTCCTATGTCCAGGTCTTTGCAAATTTCATTATAATACTTTACTTTGTCTTTCATAGCTTCTCTTCGAAATCTTCTGTTCAGCTCTTCTACATCACCATTTCCTCCATTCGCTTTAGCTTTTCAAGCACAAGTTTCTTATTCTGTTCTGACACCCATTTTGATCTTTACTTTCTTCTTGTCTTTCTAGGGGCCTTTTGCTTTCTTCATGTATAGTGTCCTTAATGTCATCCTACAAGTCATCTGGTCTTTGGTCATTGATGTTCAATGCCTCAAATCTATTCTTCACATGGTTTCTAAATTCAGGTGGGATATACTCAAGATCATATTTTGGCTCTTGTGGATTTGTTTTAATTTTTGTCATCTTCAGCTTGAACCTGCATATGTTCAACTGATGCTCTGTTCCACAATCAACACTGATCTTGTTCTGATTGATTGTATTGAGCTTCTCCATTATTTCTTTCCACAGATGTGGTTGATTTGATTCCTGTACATTTAATATGGTGAGGTCTATGTGTATTGTCACCAAATACGTTGTTTTTTAAGGCCAGGGCCAGAGGTAGGCAGGTGCAGGGCCTGGGGGCTGCTTTTCCCTTGGGGGCAGCTTTATTTCTAAGCCAGCATCCAAGGTAGGTGGGCCTGGGACTTGGGGGCTGTGTTTCAATTGGGGGCAGCTTGATTTCTATGCTGGGGCTCAAGGTAGATGGGCCTGCGGCCCAAGGGCTGCTTTTCTCTTGGGGGCAGCTATGTTTTAAGGCCAGGGCCTGAGGCAGATGGGCACAGAGGGTTAGGAACAAGTAAGAGACAAACTTGTGTGTCAATTTGTTATCCTGTGGTGGCTTATGTGTTGCTGTGAGGCTGGAGGTTATGGCACCAGTGTTGCAAAATGCCAGCAGGGTTTGCCAAAGGGCAAGGAAGCCACATCTTCCGACCTCCTCTAACCCCACAAGAGGAATACAGAATCACCATCAGTAGCCCAAGGCCTATCCCTGCGAGGCCAGACATGCTGCCTCCCTCCAGCCCCTTCACCAACCGTGACACCAACTGCTCCTCCCGCAGTACCCACCTCCTCTCTGCTGGGTTCAATAATTCACTATAGTGGCCACAGAGAACTCACAGATTATGGGGTTAATTAGGGAAGCACCAGGCTACAATTTCAAGCTCAGGAATGATGCTCAGTCTCTTTCAGCCCACAATCTCTCAGCCAACAGTCTCTCTCAGTCTTTCTTCCAGCAGTGTGTGTCTTTTGGTGTCACTCTCTCAGCAATGCATATCTCTTGGTATCTCTTTTTCAGCAGAGTGTGTCTTTCAGGGGTGTGTTTTTCTCAGCAGCACGTCTTTCTCAGCCAGCAGTCAGAGAGACTTCTGCCTCTAGAAGAGCTCCTTTTTGAGACTGGCAGTGTGGCCAAACTAACCAATTCCAACATCAGAATTCTATACACCTGAGATAGTGTGAACTTCCCAGAAAATTACTCCATGCTACACTCAACAGAAATACCCCAGGTGCATAACTTTAGCAATCAGGAACTACTCAGTTAACATGGCAAATTCCACCATGGAGTTTACAAAGACTTATGGCTAGAAAAGCCATACCAGGTAATTTAGTACACCACAGTTACCCATGATGGAGAGGTTTCAGTAGAGCTTTTGGGCTAAGACAGACTCAGAAGAAGGAAGAGGCCATCCATTTCTCAAACAATTGGCCAGTGAAAACCTTATGAATAGTAGTGAAACACTGTCTGATGTATTACAGGAAAACTTTATGAATACATCTGAAACACTGTCCAATGAAATGCTGGAAGGTGAGCCGATCAGGTCAGAAGGTACTCAAATTTGGACTGAGGAAGAGATGACTCCTCAGAGTACAGACAACCTTATTGATGTGGATAGAGTAAAGCTTTTGGGACCTCCATTGGTTAATGTGGCACTACTCCAAATAAGTAGAAACAGATGCAGGCATCCATTAATAATCAGAACATGGAATGTATGAAGTATGAATCTAGGAAAATTAGAAGTTGTCAAAAATTAAATGGATGCATAAAGATCAATATCCTAGGCATTCATGAGCTGAAATGGACT